TCAGCATAGGGAGCCCCAGCCTCCACGGCCAAGTCCGGCGGAGCCCCACCACCTCCTGCAGAGTCGCGCGCCCCACTGGTGCCTCGGGCACGGCCCTCCCGAAGGACACCGCCAGGTGCGTGTGCTGCTGCGTGCTCGTCCGCGCCAGGCAGCCCAGGGCCAGCTCCTGCCCCTCGTGCACGGTCAGGCGGGGGGGTGAGGCTGGGGCCTGGCGGCCTCGGGGCCCCGGGGGGCTGGCCGCCGACACCTGCAGCGCATCTGGAAGAACTGGATAGAACAGCCGGAGTGAGGGAGGGCCAGGGGCTGGTGGCCCCAGTCCCCGCGCGCAAACTGCGACCCACGCGGTTGGCTCCTACAGCGCGGGGTTCACCGTGTGCTGTTTCTTCTGCGACCAGGTGGTGCCAGGCACAGCGCTGGGCACACGCAGGCGCTCGATAAATACTTGCTGACGATCAGAGCCCAGCCCAACGCCTACTCACCCACGTGTTCGGAACTAACCCCTGTCAGAACTACTCAGAACTACAGAAGAATGGCTCTGTCTCCCTCCTCAGAAGACAAAGAAACGTAAGAGAGCAAGAATGTCACATGGCCTCACTCCTCCGACCCTACCTCCACTTGGCCCCCGCCACCCCCAGATCTGCATCCTGGAATCCCCAGGAATGGAGCCTGTTCCCCCGAGGGGGCTCCCCCATCAGGGAATGGTGGGGACCGGCTCCCCCTTTCCCAGGAGGTAGCCCCACAGAAGAGGAAGGGCGCTGGGCGGTAATGAAGAGATGCAGGTTCAGAGCCCCGGGCCGGCCACCAACCGGTGACTGTGTGCGAGCCCCACACCGATTCCTTGCCTCAGCCTCCTCAGCCTCACAACCCGACTACGGGCGCTAGGTCGGCCCCTCCTGTCCCCTCGGGGCACGGGCCTGCTCCCACCCCGGGCCGGTACCTCTCAGCTCCACCTTGCCGCTGTAGCTGCCCAGGTAGCGGGCGTCAGTGGAGGGCGTGTAGCACTCGTAAATGCCAGCGTCCTGCGCCTGGAGGCGGGCAATCTTGAGCAGCACGGCGTCCCCCTGCAGACGCTGTACCTGCACCTCACCAGCGGCCACGCGGGGCCCGAAAACGGCGTACGAGAAGCGGGTATCTCTGGTGCTGACGATGCCCAGCGCAGCCTCGGGGGCCTCCGGCCTGTAGAGGAACCACTCAAAGTCCTGCTGGGATGGGCCCTCGTAGCCGCTCACGTTGCAGGAGATAGAGATGGCCGTGCCCGCCACGCGGTACAGGGGCCCCTTGGGGACCAGCACCTCCCGGGCAGAGCCCTGGACTCCTGTAGGGAAGGACGAGAGAAGCTGGAGAGGCCTGGGCCCCCACTGCAGCCCCCGCTGCCAGCACCATCCTGGACTCCTGCCCGGTAAAGGAGAGCAAACCTGGGGAAGGTGGGGGCCCAGCTGGGGCCCTGCCCTGAGCATAGGGGAAGGATGCCCGGAGCTAAGACACCTGGTAAGACACCTGGGTCTCCAGGGGGTCAGAGACCTGGCTTTGCCTCAGAACCCAGAAACATCCCATTTCTGGCAGGCCAGAGGTGAGGCACCCGCGGGCAGAGCGAGGTCCAGCTGCTTTCTCTCCTTGGCTTCAGCTGCACCTCCATGTCTCTCTGGCATTTCCCACCCTCATCCGCTCTGGGCCGGGTCCTCGGGTCTTCCAGCTAAGGGTTCTGAGACCACATGTCCCCCTCCTTATGAGGGCTGCTTGGCTCCGCTTTGTCACCTGGACCAGGGGACTCCAGACAATGGAGCCAGTGGCCGAGCAGGACAGGGCACAGACCCAGCCAGTTCTCACCACACAATGCCCTCCCTCCTCCAGCTGTGCCATGAGCTCACTGCTTCTCCCACCCAGCAGCGCTACTGAGGCAGCTGAGGCTTCTGGGGCAAGAACCAGCCTCTGCCCTGGCCTCTGGGGGCAGAAGACCCCCCCCCAGGGCCTGCCAATCTTCTGGGCTGGCCCAGCTGATGCAGGGCACCTCCAACTCCCTAACAAAAGCCTTCATTTGCATATGGTGTGCATTGGCTTATGTAAGGTCCCCTCTCTGTTGAGAGGCACAAACCCCAGCTGTCTCTTCCCATCTTGCTCTCCTCAGAGAGGCCAAATTTCTGTCCTTTATCCAGCCCCAGAGGACACTCCCGAGGCCCTTGGAGAGGCCCTGCTCCTTCCTTCTCTCCTTCCATTCTTCCATAGCCAACCCCCCCCCCAAGACCACAGAACTGCAGCCCCCGGTCAGCACCCCGCCTCCATTTCACAGACGAGGGACGGAAGGCCGGAGAAGAACAACGTCTTGACCAAGACACTGTAGAGGTCTTGTCTAGATCTTACTACCCTTCGATGGCTTCCACAGGCCCCTGCAGAGGGACGAAGCCAGGGAGGAAGATGGGAAACTCCCAGGCCAGGCTTGAGGGGACTGACCTCACCAACCAGAATGTCACTCCCAGGGGCATTCCCAGGGCCTTTCTACAGAAGCCAGAGGAAAACACAAAGTCCGAGGTCAAACTCTGCCTTCTAGCTCCTCCAGAAGTGCTCCCCTTGACTTTCCCACGTGAGTGGGCTCTCAGCCCCTTCTTCCTGTGGCTGAGTCCCTCATGGCCTCAGGAGGTTGGGTCCCAGACACAGCCCCACGCTCAGCTGGACTGACACATCCCTTCCTCTCCCAAGACGGTTCCCCTCCTGGAGGAGAGCTCAGGGCTGCTTCTCTGAGAGTGAGTGAGCCTGTGACTCAGGAGGGCCCTGCCCCAGGGCATTTCATAATCTAGGTGATGGTGGAGACAGCTGAGCTGACACCTTCGGACCTCGGGGCAGACTCTGCTTAGAAGGGCCCCCTCCCACCTTCCTGGCCGCACAGCTGCTGCTGCTTGTGGAGATCCCCATGGGAAAGCAGGCCAGCCAGGCCGCCTTAGGGAACCAGCTGCCAGGCAGCCCAGGTGGCTCAGCGGTTTAGCGCCACCGCCTTCAGCCCAGGGTGTGATCCTAGAGACCTGGGATCCAGTCCCACATTGGGCTCCCTCCATGGAGCCTGCTCCTCCCTCTGCCTGTGTCTCTGCCTCTGTCTCTGTGTCTCTCATGAATGAATAAATAAAATCTTTAAAAAAAAAAAAAAAAGGAAACCAGCTGCCAGACAGCTCTCTCCCCAATCCAGGAGGGGAGACGGGACAGGAGAGACCTGCTTGCTCTGGAGTCAGGTGGGTCTGGGTTCAAATCCAAGCCCCCACACTCACTAGATGGGCTCTCTGGGGCAAATTACCTCACTTTCCTCTTCCTCAGAATGAATGTAAGCATCTGCACGCAATGGGTGCTCAGACCTCTGCAGGTTCTTGCACGTCTGTGCATCACACTTCCCCACCTCCCCTGGGCTCTTCCACTCCATGCCATCCACTGGGGACAACCGGCCAACTGCTAGGCAACCAGGCCCCACAGCAACTTCCTCCTGCCTCTCACCCAGGGCCCCAAGGAGGCCTAGTTCCCCAGGGCCCAGGGACCCATGGAGCCAGGGGAGGATCTGCTTGGCACTGCAGTGGAGCTCTGGTCTAGAGACGGGCTGCTGGCATTTCGTCAGCCTGCGCCTTGACTGTGGCAGCTCTGAATCTGGGGGGCAGGGCCACCCCCACTCTGCGCTCTTATTTCAAGAGCTTCAGTCTCTCGAAACATCTGTGCCGGCAGCGTCCCTGTCTCAAAGCCATACTCCTCCCCAGACCACCTCCTAAGGGACCCTCCAGTTCAGGCCAAAAGCAATGGCGCTGTCAGTGCCCTCATGCATCCACGCAGCGGTGGCCAGAACACCTCACCACGGACACCCACCCCACAGACACAAGGTGCTTGGAGATCCCAGCATCGGTCTCCACGGAGCCTGGTGTCTCCCCAGGAAGGGACTGGGGGACTAAGGGGGTGTGACGAGCGGTGGGAGGCGACAGGGCCAAGTGCTGGAGCTGAGAGAGGGAAAGTGGGCAAAGGGAGACTCAGCCCAGGATGGAGATGGGGGTGACAGGGGAGGGAACTGCCCCAAATCTCAGACGGTGAAGTCTGGGGGGAGGGGAGCCACCAGGGGAGACTGAACTTCAAAGATCACGGGCAGAACCGGTCCCTGGGCCTCCAGCCAAGCCCGGGAAATTACGAAGACGGGCGAGCGCTGCCCACGCAGGGCGGGCGCCCAGAGCCGGGCCTGGAGCTCGGTGTGAGGCAGAGGGAGTCGCAGCCTTTGGGCGCAGCGCCCCCGGGGCCCGAGGCCGCCGGCTGAGCAGTGGGGGCGCTGCGTCCTCCCTGGGCCCCGGGCGGCCTAGAGCTGCGTCCCGGCTGGGCGGGCAGCCACTGGGCAGCGGGGCGCCGAGCCCGGGGCGGCTCCGGAGGCGGGCCAGCGGGGTGCCAGGTGTCAGGCACCTGCCGGGGGGTAGGGGGGGGGCGGCGGCCGCTTACCCAGCAGCAGCAGCAGCAGCAGCGGCGGCGGCAAGGGACCGAGGGCGCCCATCCTGCGCGGCCGGCTTCGGGGAGGCTCCGGGGGTCGGCGCGGGCTCTGGGTGGACGGGGACTAGGGGGGCGCATGCCCGGGTCGGGGGCACGACGCGGAGCAGCGAGGTGTGGGTGCACGGAGCCGAGCGGCGCGGGAGCTTCCGAGTGCCCTTCCTCCCCCCTCCTCCCTCCTCCCTCCTCTTCCACCGCTTTCCCTCCTTCCGCCGCGACTCCGGAGACCGTTCGCGCCCCGCCCCGCCCGCCCCGCCTGACCCTGGCCCCGCCCCGCCCCCGCCCCGCCCCATCCCCGCCTGACCCTGGTCCCGCCCCCAAGCCCCGCCCCGCCTGGTCCCGCCCCCAAGCCCCGGCCCAATCCCCGCCTGACCCTGGCCCCGCCCCTCCCGACCCTGGCCCCGCCTCTCCCGACCCTGGCCCCGCCCCCTCCCGACCCTGGCCCCGCCCCGCCCCGGTCTCGGTCCCAGCCCCGCCCTCTGTTCCGTCTCCGCCCGGCTCCCCGACCCCGGACCGGACCTGACCGCGGCCCCCGGCCCCGACCCGCCGCGACCCCGGACCTGCCCCGACTCCAGACCCCGGCCCTGCTCCGCCCACCTCGGTCCAGGTTCCGCCCCCAACCCCGACGTCAGCTCGGCCCCGGCCCCGGCCCCGGCCCCACCCGCCGCAACTTGGGTCCAGATTCCGCCCAGCCCCCTACTCCCCCCGCAGCCCACACCTCCCCCCCCCCCCCCCGGCCTACGCGGTGGGGGGCGGCACCTGGGCTCGGCCAAGCCCCATCCCCGCCCCGCACCCCCGTGCACCTGCCGGCCTTCCCCGGAGAGCAGGGAGCAGGGCCTCGGGCGGGGCGGGTGACTGGCCTCGCGCTTAGACCCAGTCGTTTGCTCTGGGCCTCCAGGCCTGGCCGCAGCCCGGCTCGGGTGGGGCTGGGCGGGACCGGAGCTCCCAGAAACCTGGCTGCCACCCGCGGGGCAGACCCAGAGGGGCCGGCCAGGGGAGGGCGCCGCCTGGGCGCCAGCCCCTCCCGGTTGGGGATCCCGTCAGGTTGGCTGGCTCCCTGCGACCTGCTCTCTGGTCGATGACATCCACCCCGAGGGTTTTTGTGACGTTAATTGGGATCATGTACACGAGGTTCTTGGCGCAGGGTAACACGGAATGGGAGATAAGGTATGCTGGGGTTTTGTTCACGCTTTTTGAATGCTTATGGAAAGTGCTCCCTGGGCAGCCCCAGTGGCTCAGAGGTTTAGCACCGCCTGCAGCCCAGTGCAGGATCCTGGAGTCCCAGGATCGAGTCCTGCGTCTGGCTCCCTGCGTGGAGCCTGCTTCTCCCTCTGCCTGTGTCTCTGCCTCTCTCTCTGCATCTCTATGAATAAGTAACTAAAATCTTAAAAAAAAAAAAAAGTGCTTCCTGAGGGGTCCTGTTGAGCCTTAGCAGCAGGAAAGACATGGGGATGCTGGGAAGAGGAGTGGGGCCTGCCCTGGAGGCAGGAGGATGGGAGAGCTGGGACCCTAGGGAGGATAGGACCCACCCAAGAAGGCACAGCCAGGTCTGCGAAGCTAAGGCTGTCAAAGCGGGGGTTCCTGGGAAGTGAGCCCGGGCTCATCATCACCTTTACCTGGTACCTTCCCCGGGCTCCTCTAACCTCCCCTTCCCCTCTTCCTCCTCTCCCTCCCCTCCCCTCCCCATTTTGAGGCTCCAAAAAGCCAAGTGGCAGAGGCCAGACCAGATCTTCCTTGGGGGCAGCCAGTGCCTGGCTCAGTCGAGGTGCTCATCCGAAGCCACACTCAGAGACGGGAGGAACTCTGAAGCAGACTGCTGATTTCGCCCAGCACCCCCAGCACCTCCAGGACTGGCCCAGGAACCGGGCCGCAGGATGCCCGCTTCCTCCCGCTTAGACTAGATTCACAGCCTGATTTCTCCGGATCCACTTCACCTCAGTCTATCCACAGGTCAGACTGAGCTACGTGAAAGCAGAAAGGCACAGGGAGGCTTTGGGGGAAAACCCACTCTCCTGTTATTTGGGGACGGAATGGACTCACTGCTCCCTGATGCTTGAGAGATGGGAGATGTTGCCATTCATCATCATCCCAGTACATGCCATTTATGGGACACCTACACCTACACCTAAAAGGACAGTAAGGCCCTTTTGGACATTATTTCTAGTCTTTACAGCGTATTTTGCCAGATGGTGTCATTTAACAGGTGAGAGACTGAAGGTTGAGAGAGGTTAAGCATTTTCCCCAAGGCCACACAGCTTTTAAGTGGCCAATGTCTGATGAGCTCAGGCTTATCTGTCCCCAGAGCCCCACATCTTCCCACATCCCACCGTTTCTCTTCCCAAGCTTCTTCACCCTATAAATTTGGTCATTGATTAGGCCAGGCCTGGTACTGGACCATGGAAATGCCAGGGAGAGCATAAGCAGGTAATAACCACCCCCCAGGCCGAGCGTTATGAGAGGGGACACTGAGGCTGCTGGGAACACCCTTTGGCTTGGAGCTGGGTGGGAGCTGGGGCAGGCAGGTGTAGACCAAGGCTGGGAGAACCAGATTCTTCCAAGCGCCCCTCCCCAGACTGGGAGTTCCGGGGCTGCCAGCAGGGGGAGCCCGGAGCCCAGGCCTGAGTCCAGCTCAAGGCTTACGTAACAGAATGCTGGTGGGGGGTGCGGGGAGGGGGGGCACAGCCCAGGCTCCAGGACGTCACACAACGGACACAGAGGAGCTTACGCGGAGAGACGTCACTCACACGTCCCAACAGAGACCCACAGGCACACGCACACGCACAGCACACGCACACGCTGCGGAGGGGGCTCATAGCCCGCAGACTGGAGAGTGCTCCTGTGTCCTCCCAGCTGGCCCATGAGAAGCCACACAGGCTTGCCCAGCACCATGGCTGATGCTTGTAGAGGAGCGAGCAGAGACAGGAAGGCGGCCTGAGGCAGGGGGCGGGAGCCTGGGGGTTGCAGAGGGACACGGGTGGGGGGTCCAGGAGTGGCCATGGGGTGCTGTCATCACTGTGCCATCACCGGCTGCCCACTCGCCCCCTAGGTGCCACCAGGGCTGGGCATACGTCAGGCACCAGGCCTCTGTTCCCTGGGCTGATATAACCCCCTCAAGAGGACAGACGTGCAGGACGCCACAACGGCAGCGAGGGGTCCTGAGTGTCATTGAAGATAACCAAGACCGACGCTCTGCCTTAAAGCAACTCACCATCTGACGGAGGTGTCACGCGTGACGGTCACGATTATGATGACACAGTTCTGCGAGGGGCACCAGGACGGGACCGTTAACGTGTTCTCACCTGTGTCAGGTGCGTATTTTAGTCTCATTTAATCCTGGCCAGCACCTGGTGTGGTTCGTGCTATTGCTTTCCCCAGGAAGAAACTGAGGTGGGCCAAAGCTTCGGAGCATGTCCAAGGTACACGGATTGGATCCCAACTCAGATCTGAGCCTGCGATCGGCTGGGCCTGGAGGAGCCTGTGCTCCTGCCCTGCTACGTGGCTTCTTGAAGGCAAACGTGGACCCAGCATGCCCCGGCATGGACCCCGCGATGGACACAGGCCTTGAAGAGGGTGACAGACACATCAGGCACGGCGCATGTGCCCCCCGCCCCCCGACATTGGACATGGAAGTGCCACACGTGTGCTCACACACACGCACACGCAGCACTCAGCGCTCTCCCCCTTGAATGTGTATAAATCCCAGCTCGGTGGAGCTGAGGGTCACGTAGAAGAACGTCCTGTGATCCTGTGTGTTTGTAAGGCCTTGACCCACACCGCCCGATGAGCCGTAGTTTCCCACCCTCCCCAACGGGAGCATCCTCTCTGCTGACCTGGGGAGAGGCTCAGGCAAAGAGGCAGGACAGAGGCGGAGCCAAAACCTACAGGGCAACACACGTCCCTGGTCCCTACGGGCACCTGCGCCTTCTCGCAGAGCCACAGAGCTGCCTCCCACACCCACACACAGGCCGGCCGGACTCCCTCCCTCCGTCCTCGCCAGCAGGCACTGCACCCTCGTGCTGGACTCGGGTGTGTGTGTGTGTGTGTGTGTGTGTGTGTGTGTGTGTGTCTGCTTCCCGGGCCCTCTCTGGTCCTGGCCGAGCCCACACTCCTTCCCCATTCTCAAACCCTCCTCGGACAGCTGTTGGAGAACAGAGGAGCCCCCACGCTGCTGCTGGCCTCGGCAGGACCTGGCCCTAATTCCCAGGGAGGCCCTGCCATTTCTACGTGCCCAGGATTGGCGCCAGCTGCCACCCACTCCGGAATGCCAAGGACGGATCCCTCTGAGCTGGAATCCCCTGACCCTCCCTCCCTGACAAGTCCCTGGATCCCCAGTCCCAGAGTGCTGGGGGCCTGGGCGCCACCCCAGAGCCCCTCCTGTCCCTCCCCTGCTCTCGCAGCCAGCTGAGGGCACAGACACCCATGCAGAGGGTAGCCCAGAGCCGAGGCAGCCCCCACAAGGACAGAAGCGGGCGGTGGTTTGCTAGACAGAGGTTTGTGGGCTGCGTCGTATAGATGAGCCTCAGGGGACAGGAGGTGGTTAGGGCCAGGTGGCTGCCTCTGAGTCACGGAGCTTGAGCAAGGGCCAGATTGGAAGAACGGGTCATTGACGAGTTTGTGCGCAGCCAGCCCTGAGTGCGGCCAGGAGGAGGCACCCCTTGTTGCTGACACTTCCTGTGCACCTGCTTTCTGTGGGCTCCACGCTAAACACGGCACGCTCGCTCAGTCCCCACAGCAAGCACCCCGTGGGCCGAGTGCTCCCGAGGCCTGTTTTGCAGATGGGAGAGGAGGCCTGAGGAGTTACGTAAGTGACCCAAGGTCACCTGGCTAAGGGGCAGCACCGAGATTCAAATGCAGACTGTTTGACTCTGGAACATTCTTCTTCTTCCTGCTTCCCGAACCTGCACGTACATATTCACACGCACACGTGCATGAGCACACGCACACACACACGCACCTGGTGCCTCTACAGCCCTTTTGAAAGAACTTTCCCACCAGCGTCATCTCCAGCAAGCTCCTGGCACATAGTGGGTGCTCAGTAAATATGTGTTGGATGAATGGGTGAGGACCAGGAAGAGGGGAATTAGCAGGAGAGTCGGGGCGGGGGGGCGGCCCCGAGGGTCTCCCACGCAGAGCCCTCCGGAGCTGGAATGGTATTGGCTCCCTTTGGACTCTGGGTCCCAGCCCCGTAGAGCACCCCCGGGGCGGGGTGGGGGCGAGAGGACGGAACCAGGGCTCATGGGGCTCCCTGAGGTGAAAGGGGGTCTTAACTTCTCCCTGCCGTCACGGGATGGGGGCACGAGGGGAGGTCTGGGGACACACGGCCACAGAGCCACGTGAGCCGGCCCGGCTTCTGCTTGTCCCCGTTCCCAGCCCGGATGCCCCATGCTCTTCCCGGGTGCCCCCACCCCCCGCCCTGACTGCCCCTGGCTCCTCCAGTGGGCACACCTGGGCACTCCGGGAACCTGACACCCCCCCGCCAGCCTGGCCCCAGAACGGACAATTCTCCTTTTCCCTAGTCCAACTGAAACAAGGGTGGCATCTTTCCAAAGGCTCTCTATTGGGAAAACAAACCCAGAAATAAAAACTCCAAAAACAAAGAAACAGATGGGCCCGCGGGGGCGAAGGCGTGGGCCATGGGAGCGCGGGGCCCAGTCTTGCTGCTGACGTGACCCTCCCCTGGCTCCCGGCACCCTGTCCTCGGCTCTCGGGTGGCCTTTCCCATCGGGCCTTGCCATCCCACAGTGGCGAGCCCTCCGCGGCTCTGCCCCATGCCCAGCACGGTGCCCGCAATGCCCGCGAGGAGGGGAAGCTGCGCGGATGCCTGCCGAGTGCTTGAGCAAGGGAGGGAGCACGGGGGAGAGCGAGGGAGAGGGAAGCCAGGTGCTTCCTCTTGGGTGGCCCGATCACCTCCACGGAGGGCACTGTTCCCGCCTCTGGCGTTCGTCTTGCCCGGGGCCCAGGCATCCACCGGTGGACAGAAAGCTTTCCCTCCCGTTTCGGAGCCCGAACCTTCCGTCCGTCCCTCAGGAGACCACCCAGGCTGGCTTTCCAGGCCACGGGGGGAGGGCCGAGGGCTGTCCTCCTCCGGGGAGGGAAGGGCGCGGAGATCGGACTTGGCCGTCCTGAGGCCTGGGCACGGAACAGCAGGGGCGCCAGCGCTGAGCGCGTGGCTTCTCAACGCCACCCCGGGAACCGAGCTCAGACAAGCGACAACTTTGCCGGGTGAGCGGCACATCTGGATTCCTTCTCCAGGCCCTCGGACCGCGCTGCCCCGTGGCCTCTGCTCAGGACGGGCCGTCCTCCCACGAGGGAGCTGGTGTCCGGGGGAGCGGCGAGGCTGCAGGGCCAGCCGGCTCCAGGGCTGGGGGCCGCTTGGGCACTGGGCATCGGTGCCAAGGATGCCAGGTGTCCCACAGCGAACATGTGTCTTCCCTCCCCAGCAACTGCCTTTCCTCCGGACCCTGATTATAGTCAACGTTGCACCAACGGCCGCCCCATCCTTCCTCTCTCCCCGTGACAGACCAGCCGTTACCGAATCCTGAAATTCCACCTCCCGAAGATCTTTCCCATCTGCCCTTTCTCCCCATTGTGTGGCCACCGTCTTGTGGCTGACACCCACCACCTCTCGCCTAAATTATTGCCAGAACCGCCTCCCTGTCTCTCCCCTCCGTGAGACACCCTGGCCCGTGTGCCCACCCACACCTGCCATCATGCGAGCCTTCCTAGAGCATCCCGGCTCCTCCGTGCAGGTGGTTAGTACCGCCGGAGCCCCGTAGGAAACACCCGTGGTCGGGACGGCGCCTGCGCAGTAGCTCCCACGCCCCACACCCAGGGCGGGCTCCCAGGCCGCGTCTTTGCCCACTGGGTGCTCCAGGCCTCTGCGCCTGCGCCCACACGGCTGCCTCTACGTGGCACATGCTCTGCCTGGTCCTCGGAGCCACACCCTGCATGTCTGCCAAGGCCCAGCTAGAAGCCACCTCCTCCCTAAGGCCTCCTGATTCTTCGGGCTGAGAAGCCCTTCTCCCTCCTCTGAGTCCCCATCACCCTGTAGACCACTGGGGTGCAGCCAGCAGCCAGTGGCATCTGGCCCCAGGCGGCGCCATCCCTTCCCCTTAATCTAGCAGGACTCCCCTCACCCCGCACTGCAGCCTGGGGGCTCCCGCATGTGCCACCCCGGAAACAGAAACCCAGAGGGGAGCCCTCCCTGCGTCGTAACGGCGCAGTTTTCCACGTGCCGGTTCTGCAACCAGCCTGCCTGGGTTTGAGTCCCAGTTCCCCCAGTCGGGTAAGCTCAGGAGCACGGTGCCTCAGTTTCCCTGTCTAGAAAGGGACCCACTTGAGTAACGCGTGGAAATGGCCAAGGCCCTAACATGGCACCTCAGTAGGTGATGAGCTGGACATCCTCGGGACAGTCGGGCTCCGTGGCTCTCAACCCCACCTGTGCATCGAATGCTCTGGGGAGCTTTCAGAGGACACGGGTGCCCGGGCCCCACCACGGTCCCGTCACAGCACAGCCACTGGGATGAGGTGCAGATGTGAGGAGTCACACAGGCCCTCGCTGTAGGGATGGGAGTCCAAGCACTACTCAAGCCCACAGCTCTTGGTGGCAGAGCCGGTCCCATATGGCAAGCCCCCGCCCTCACCCCATTCAGCCCCCGGCCCAACTCGGTTCCTGCCCCTTTGGGGTGCAGGAATGCCCAGGTGGGAGACGGGGCCCAGGCCCACCCAATCCCACTTGGCAGAAGCAGAGGTCAGGAAGTGAGGGCGCTGGAGCAAATGAGGAGTCGTCCCCAAGGGCTAGGGGCTGGCCTTGGGAGCAAACCAGGGTGACCAAGGGGCGTTAGACTTGGAAGGAGGACCATGCGGGTGGGGGCCTTGTTGGCCTCAACTGCAATCGTCTCTGTAGGACTTTGCTGGGCATTGGGCAGCCGGCGCTCAGCAAATGCTGGTAGGACATGGGAATGGCACCGCACCCCGAAAACAAGCAAGCTCTACTGACTGAGTGGGGGGGGCACCCACTTGCCCCAGGAGGCAGCACCGTGCGCACCCAGGTGGGAGCACAAGAGCGAGAGCGTCCCAGACTCGCCGAGAAACCGAGGCACAGGGGAGGCCGAGCTCCCCGAAGCCCCTAGGAGGGCTCGTGATGTGGGAACCCGTGCCAGATGTTCGCAGGGCATCCTCCCCGGCCAGGTGTCCGGAGCAGCAGCGGGGACGGACAGGCCAGCGGAGGGGGCCTGGCGAGGGAAGCAGGAGGTAGGAAGGAGGAGGCCAGGACAGGCTGCCTCTTGATAGGGGGAGCGGGGAGGCGGGGTGCTCCGGGCCACTGGCTGGGTCAGATCTCCGGCCAAAGCAAACCTGCCTCGGGCGGCTGCAGGGCCTCTCCCTCCCTGCCCGGATGGAATCAAAGGCAAACAGGAACCCTAGAGGGCCCAGCTGTGACCCCTGACCCCCAAACTCAGCAAGGTCCATTAACTCCATGCACCCCATCGCCCCTCACATATTTTTCCAGCCCAAAGAATCTCTGGAAACAGACTAATCTGGTATTTGGTGAACCAACGCCAGCCAAGAAATGTCAGGTTTCGGCAGCATCACCCCCAGCCCGGCCTTCTCCCCAGCCCGCCCGGCCCTCGGCCCTTTGCGAGGAAGTGGGTAGTCCGTGCCCGACCCCGAACCCTTCCCCACTTCTGAGCCAAGGGTTGAAGCCATCGCACACTCATTTCTGTGGGTCACGCTAATCAACATCGGGGCACCTACCCCCTCAGCTCCCGCTACCCCGAGCCCCGGACTCCAGACGGGGGGTTATCCCACGGGTACAAGTAACCTCCCCCGCTGCTCACCTGAGCTGAGCCAGGAGCTGAGGAGAAGGTGACCTCGACGAACTTGGGGGTCCCTCAAACAAGGAGCAAGGCCGGCGTGGGGGCGCCTCTGATCCCAGGTCCCTCAGCTGCTTGGTCCCAACAGGACCGGCCTCAGCCGAGGGGCTCACTAGGTCAGGGCTCGCAGGGACTGCAGGCAGGACAGCCGGGAGGGCAGGACAGAGGGTGCCCGGGACGGCTGGTGCGGGCCCCCCACGCTGTCCACACCCAGACAGCGGTGCAGAGGGCAAGAAGACGTGGGACTGGACCGGACACGAGACGGTCAGGAAAATCCTGGGTGTTCTCTCCTGTATTTTCTGCATTCTTTATGCGATGGTGTTAACAGTAAAGGGGATAATAGAAATCATCTGCGGGGAAGACTAAGGACAACAGAAGCGGGTGGGGGCTTAGAATCTACTCGAGGAGATTGGAAGGAACGACCAGAAAGAACACAGGGGTGCAGGCATCAAGGGAGGGATGGGGAGAAAATCCAACACTGGCCTTGTGGTCCAGTGGGGAAACTGAGGCAGCGGCAGGACTCAGACTGGCACTCTGTGGCTCTGAGCCCAGGCTTTCCACCACCAGGCCACTGCCACGTGCGGGGAGGGGGAGGAGAGGTCCGGAGAGGAAGGGGAGTGAAAGGGACCTTTGTTGGACGCCTGTCACGGCCAGGCCTTTCCAGGTTCCCCGTCCTCGCTGTCATCCCAAGCCAACTTGCCCTTGGAATGAGAGAATCCCATCCGTTCCCGAAGGCCCCGGAAGCCTGGTGGTGGGGGGAGCCAAGAGGCCAGGTCGCGGAGAAGGAAGGAAGGATCTTTGAGGGAATGGAAGATGATGGAGAGAAGCAAGGCCCCCCGGAGAGGGCAGGCCTGGGGAGGAGGACCGGGGAGCTGGGCCAAAGTGGGGAGCGGCCGAGCTGCGGGGTGGGGGCCGGAGGAGGGACAGTGGGGGTGACAGCGCCTCCCCAGCCTCCCCCTCCCCCTCCCTTTCATGATCTTGAAACAACCTTCAAGTCTGGGCTGCCGGCCCCAGGAGGCTAGTCACTTAGGAAACAGAACTGTTTCTGGGAGACCTTGACGGCCCATCTGCAGCTGAGCGGCTCCCCACCCCCTGGCGCACACGCACTTTCTCCCAGGGCCTCTCACGTAGGCCACGCAGCTCTGCCCCAGCGTGCACGCTCGCACGGCCCGGAGACCACGCACCTGGGACACAGTCGTTCCGTCCTCACGTCCTCACCGGATGCCCGCGCATCCCAGGGCCTCCCCTGCTACCAGCTCCTGCATCCGAGTTCCAAGCCGCCCCTTCCCCACAGAGGGTCCCCACCGCCAGCCCCGCAGTCGGAAGGCGCACACCCCTGCACACGCGCACACCTGCCTGCCGCACCTTCCCGTGCCAACCAAACACCCGATTCGGGAGCAGCCGTCCTCAGCGACCTCTGTCCTTCTCCCAAAGCCAGGCCCTGGGCCCTCCCCTCCTGCCTTCCAGGCTCGCTGCTCTCTGCTTGTCCCTCTTACTTTCAGGGCCTGGATCTGAAGCCACCTCTGGCTGTCTTCACGGGCCTAGTCCCCCCTTGCCCCCGCCATGACCCCAGATCAAGGCACCAGGTGCCCACATCCCACCGATGTCCCGAAGCGTGAGGTCTACGCAGCAGCGGGGCCGGGTGTGTGTGGGGGGGGTCGACTCCCAGGGAGTCCATGTTCGCCCAGGCAAGGAGGGTGGTCGGGGACATTCGGGCAAGGACGGGCCCCAGGGTGACCTGTCCAGCCTTCCTCACATCTGGGCCCCAAATGTGTGAGCAGCATCGCCCCCGGGGCTGCCCGCTGACCTCAGTGTCAGGTACGGCTGGAGCCCCCACCGGGCCGGGTGGGCAGAGGGAGGGCACAGTGCTTTCCAGTATGGGCCTGGCCACGGGGACCGGAGCCAGGGCCTTAGAAGGACGGGGCAGCCCCGGGCGATGCCAGCGGCAGTGCGGGGGGGTGGGAAGGACAGGCTGCCTTTCTCTCCCAGCACACCTTGTGCCCTGGAGCAGAGAAGGGATTCCAAGCCCGGAACCAGGGAGCAGGAGCCTTCTAAGCCTCCAGTGACCCTCTCTCCCGGCCCCCCGGACCAGAGCGAGGCTGCCCTCAGGCCGCCCCACTGCCCAGCGGCCCAGCCGTCTGCGGGCGGCTCTTCCAGGGACTCCTCCCTGGGCCGGCCCTGCAAGGGGCTGACCACGGGCCCTCTTGCGGGGCGTCAGCTACTGCTCCCCCCACCCCCCGTCCACACGGGGCTGGAACTGGGGTCTGCTCCTCCCTGTGGCTGCCCCCCGGCCTGCTCCCCCCAGGCTCAAAGTCAAGGCCAGCGGAAGGGCCCAAGGACAGAAGGTGTCTGCCCCATGCTACCCATCCTTCCAGCTGTAACCCAGGAGGAGGAGGAGGGCGGAAGCGGGATGTGACCTTCCGGATCCCTGTCATGGAAAATCCCAGGCGCAGGCCCGGAGGGGGCCAGTTATTTGGGGAATTCAGGCATGGGCCCTGCGCCTTGAGAGTGGATTTGCTGAAGAGCTCCATAATCCCTCTGCGGGGAGTTCCCAGCGGGGCCCAGAGGACCCAGCCCCAGCCCCGAGAGCACCTCGCCCCTCCCTCTGCATCTTTGGGCTCAGGGCTCTCAGACCTGCCCCCCCCCACTGGCTGCCCTCCACCCCATCCCTGTGCCCAGAGAAATGGGGACACTCCAGGCAGATCCTGTCCCCCTGCTGCTCCCGGATGCCAGGGGCAGTTTTTCTTCCTATCTGCCCCCTCTGGCCTCCCCTTCCCCTCTTTGCCCCTCATTCTTTGGCTCCTTTATTAGATGCACAGCAACAACCCCCCCGCCCCAGCTGGTCCTGATCCAGCTCCTCTCTACCCCTGTTTCCTGCTGCTATGGGGTTACAGACGCCCCTTCCAGCCACCAGGCCCCGTCCCCACTCCCAGGGACTTCCCGCCGCTCCCCTGCCGCCGCGGACTCTGGTCCCCGGTCTAACCTCTGGCCTCCGCGCTGCAGACCAGCCTTCCCTGCCCCAGCGTGAGAAGGACGGAGGCCGCTCTGGTTCCCGGCTCTGGCCCAGGGCATGATGCTGGCTTCCCTCTACCTCTGAGGAACTCTGTATTGTCCCCGCTTTGGCTTCCTCCCTCCCACCTGCCAACCCCAGGCCGAGATCCGGCCCAGGACTTCTCAACGGGGAGTAGGGGGGCAGGTGTCCTCGGTAACGAGGGGCGAACAGGACCCGCGCTGCTGCCGTGGTTGTGCGTCCGTCTGCGGGCTGGCCTCGGGGTGGCCCCTGCCTGCCTGGCCCCCCGGCCTGCCCCCCGCCCCCCACAGTCACGATTCTCAGACTCAGGGAGGGCTTCCCGGGGAGGGCTTGCTGAAACCCTGTCCCCTTCGCGTGCAGGCATCGCACTGCCTCTTGAGCCCAGGGCCCCTCCCAGGTGTCTCAGAGGCAGTGGCCCTGGGTTCCCAGGCGACTCCTTTTCCCAGTTCCCGCGTCCCCACAACCTCTGCAGGGGGACAACGGTCTCTCCTTCTTTCTCTGGGAGGCTGGGCACAGAGTCCGGAGCCCCGGATTCTGTTCTATCCACTCACATTATTTGTCTCCCTGGGCCTCAGTTTCCCCACCAGGAAAACAAGAGAAACAGTGGGACCATGAGGCCTGTGGCACCCGGGATGCTGTGGGACTGTTCCCGTCAGCCTGTCCCCAGCCGCATGGCTCCTGCCTTGGCCCCCCCCATGCCTCTCTCAGCAGGGGCTGCCGTGGGCCGGGGGAGGGGGGCGGCCACGGGGAGCGCACAGCCGGACAAATGGACCTTCCATGGTCCAGCCGCCTGTTGCTTCAGGGGCGGGAGGGGAGGAGTCCTCAGGGATCCTGTTTCAACAAACGTTTCTTTCCCGAGGAGGGGAAGGCGGGGGAGAGGGGGAGAGGGACCTATTTAAAGCTACCCCGTGGCTCGCTGCGGCTCTGTCTGTTTGCCGGGGTCTCTGGCCTCCGGGACCAGAGGCGGGGGCTTGGGACGGTCCCCGTGACCCGTGCAGTCTAGGCTCCCTCAGCCACTCTGCCCCAAGATGGGCCGTGGGGTGAGTATCCCCAAAGAGAGCAGCGGCCCTGTAGGGAGGAGGAGGGCTCTCTGGGGGGTGAGGGAGGCCGCAGGGGAGAAGGATGGGGTGGGCAGGGGTGCAAAGGGAGGGGCACAAGAAGCCGGTCCTTCTGACTTGGGCTGAGACTCTCCCAGCTACAAACGAGCTCGGTCCACAGGTCCCGGCACTCAGATGCCCCAGTGCCCCTCTCTGCACCACTCGCCAGGATGAGCCCGCGGCCCTCCGCCCTACCCCACACCCCCATCCCTGGTCTCCCCGCATCCTAGACAGACCCTGGCTCACTGCGCCTCCCAGCGTGCCCGCTGAAGGGAACCTGGTTACGTGAATGCTCCTGTCTGTGCCACCCCATCTCCCCGAAATACCCATTCCTCTGGCAGACCCAGCCTGAGAAGATGGGGGTCCAGGTCACGGTTGGAGAGGCCCGGGGGCACGGCGCCCGAGTCACCAGCCCCAGGGTCCCTGAGTGCCGGGACGGCCGTGCGCCCCCAGCCCCTGGCAGCGCGGGCGGTCATCCTCCGTGGCCTGGGCTTTGCGCGCGTTCCCAGGGGCTGGCGAGAGCTGCCTGCGCCCCCGCGGCCCACCCCTGCCCGGGCCACTCTGCAGCCCTGGGAATGCCAAGGGGAAGATTAACAACTGTGGAGTGGGGCTGGCTGGGGGGGCAGGGACTGGGCTCTGGATTCTTGGAAATGAAATTTCCATATGGAGAAAAGTCACCCAATCCCTTACACACTGCGCCTGGCTGCTTTCCTTTTGTGGAATTCTGGCCGAGGGGAAGGGTCTGGGGAGCGGTGGGAGGGCGCGGAGGCACGGGGGTGCCCGTGGGGAGCCTGGGGGAGCTTCTGGGCCCAGGGAGGGGTCACTCAAGGACGTGTTATTGCGCTGGGTTTAGCAGCTGGGAAAACTCTGAGCTTGGACACCAGGGTCCGTGAGCCGGGGTAGGAGCTATAAATAGAACGGTGTGTGTGTGTGTGTGTGTGTGTGTGTGTGTGTGTGTGTGTGTGTGACACACGTGCTCTCCATAGGCCAGAGCTGACACACTTGTTCCGGGGTGAGCTCCGGTGTATGCCTCAGAAGGCAGGTTTGCGAGAACCTTGCAGGCCTCTGGGCACGTGGGAGCGCACATGTCCCCGCGTGGGGATGAGCGGGGCTCTGCGAGCTGCTGCCCCCACCCCGAGCCCCATGCTGACCCCTGGGAAGGCAGGCCACTTGGGACCCTCAGCTGAACCTTGGCATGCCCTGTTCTGACGTGCGGGCCACCGAGGAGAGGCCGGGCTGCCCCCGGCCCCCAGCCCCCAACCCAGTGCAGGGAGCCAGGGGAGGTCTCCTCTCCGCTGCTCCCCCTTAGAACAGGGAGGCTCAGCCCACCAGGTCCTGCTCCGGACGGACAGATGGACGCAATTCGACCTTGATTTCTTCCAGGGACCCCACTGCCTGGGGTCTCTGCCCTCCTGCCAGCGGCCCCGACCCCGACCCCCACCCCCCTGGCTGTGCGCAGGCAATGGCAGGCTGGGGAGCGGACCTGGTTCTGCTGGGAGGCACGGGCTGGGGGGCAATGGGGGCGCTTAGGGCTGGAGCTCAGAGTTCAACCTGCCAGAAGAGCCCCTGACCGCAGTGCCAGGGCAGTGCCAGGGCTCCTCTGTCTCCTGTCTCCTTCCCTACATCCGCACCACAAAGCCAGGCCTGAGTGTCACCCTGCGCCCTGTGGCCGTGAAGGGCAGCGTGGGAGCTGGGGGCAGGGATGGCAGTGGTAGGAGAGCGCCCAACCCGCTCCAGCTGCCACCACGAGGCTGCGGTGGGGGGAGCGTGGCTGCTTTCCAGCTGCCCCCACTCTGTCCCAGCCTCTGGCTCCCTCAGAAAGAACTCTCTGTTCTCCTTCAGCATTCAAGACCCGGAGAGGGGGACTCGTGGTGGGGGGAGCCCGGGGGGGGGGTCCTTGCTTCCTCTCTTTCTTTCTTGCCTGGGCAGCCCGCTGGCCCCAAATCTCCGCAGGATCCTGGCTGCAGAGCCTGAGATCCTTGCCAGGACGGGAGGGGGAGGGGGCCATGTGTCCCCAGCTCTGTGCAGGCCTCGGGGAGAACAGGGTGGGGGCTCAGGAGAAGGGGTGCTGCATGGGGATGCTCACTCCGGCCGTCACCCAACGTGCCCCCAGCGCACTGGCTGCCAATTGGATTCTAATTTTCATGAACTTTATTTCATGTCTGAATGTATGGAAATTCTCGGGGCTCTGCTCCTCTGCCCCCAGCCACAGCCCCCGGCACCTCCACCCTGACGCCCAGGCCCTGTTCCTGCCCCCGACGCTCTGCAGGGTCCCTTGAAGCTGGTCTGGCCTGATGTCTCGCCTCTGGTCCCTCTGCTGCTCTCCATCCGACCCACAGTTCGGTCCCAGCATGGGGAGTGTTGGTGAACCCAAAACACGGGAATCCATCCCACCCAATGAGCCCCCCACTTGGGTCTCCTGGGGAGGGGGTCCAACAACTTCCCAGGAGCCCTTCCCCTCTCCGCTTGGGCTGCTTCCATCTCCCCAAGATGCTCAGCCTCCAGGACGCCAAAGACATACTTGATTCATTGGTGCTCCCTATGGGAGCAGGTGGGGACAATGGTGTCCCCCTGTCCCTGAGCCCCCTTTCCCTGCTCAGACGGCTCCCTCTGCGGGCACAGGCCTCGTGATCCCGCCTGACGAGGGCAGCGGCTGCAGCCGCGTTCCCAGGGTTGCTCCTGCCTCTTCAATGGGGGGAAAAGTGCACTATCCATGAGCACAGATTTTTATGGCAGTGAAACCACTTGGTGGGGGGAGAGCTACAATAGACACATGTCGGGACGCATTTGTCCCAACCCACAGAGTGGCCGGTGCCACGAGCGAGCCCTCCTGTCAGCTCTGGACTCTGGGTGATACCGAGGGGCCAGAGTAGGTTCCCGACGGCCACGAATGCGCCCTCGGGGGTGGGTAGGAGTGTTGACAGTGGGGCAGGGGGCATCTGAGAACTCTCCGTACTCTCTGCTCAGCTTTGCTGTGAGCACACAACTGCCTTTAAAAGAAAAGTCTACTTTTAAAGAATGCTCACGATCCTGTAAGAAAAGGACAGATACGTTGGCTGTAGATCCCATCCAGGTGTCCAGGCTTTTTTTTTTTTTTTAAGATTTATTTATTGTAGGGGGAGGAACAGAAAAGGGAGAGACAGAGTCTTAAGCAGACCCTATGCCGGGCATGGACCCCAGGCGGGGCTCGACCTCACGACCCTGGGATCACGACTTGAGCCGAAACCTAGAGACAGACACTTAAGCGACTGCACCCCCACCCAGGCGCCCCCCCCCCGGGTGTCCGGTCTGTACAAAAAGATGAGTTACACCACAGTCCAGCGTGTAGAGAGGCTCGTTCCTGAGAGCCTCACACGGCCTGAGGGCCCAGTGGAGAAGGAGGCAGGGGACAGAGATCCAGACCTTCTATGACAAGGATGCGGGGGTGAGGCCAGAGTGAGGAGGATGCCGGGGCGCCCCCAGGCCCTCCCTGCCCCCTCCTCCCCCAGCGCCCCAGCAGCCCCACCGCTCACCCCGCGGAAGGGGAAATCTGTTCTCCCCGTGGAGCCTGGGAGCCCGGCGCTCAGAGGAGGCCGGACGGAGGCCGTGAAGGGGAAGGGAACACGGGCCCGCTCGAGGCTCCAGGGACATGGTCACCGGGTCTCCCCGGAGGCCCCCAGGATGCCAGGGCCTGAGAGCATTTGAGTTTTAGCTGTGTCCTCAGAGCTGATTTCTTGTATTTTGGACAAATGGGGCCCAGTTTCCTTGTCACCCCGTCGCGTCTCGAGGCCTCATACTGTGCAGACCACCCCCTTGCCCAAAGGCGGGCGGGCTGGCCCACGGTCAGGACCGGGCCGCAGCTCCCCTCCGTCCCCGCTTCTGGGACTCGCTCGGAACCCCCGGCCGATGGCTTCTCTCAGCCCATCAGCCCTGCCCATCGCACCGCCAGCTCCACCACCGGACCCGAGGCTCCCCAGAGACTCTGCCCCCCCAGGTGCCTCGCCGTCTCCGCTCCTCTCAGCGTCCGTGGCGTCGGGGCAAAGTCCCCCCACAGGCTGCTCTACCTCAAAGCGGCCCCCAACCCTGGCCACTGCCTGCCAGCGTTCTAAATAGTGGAGGATGCTGCTTTTTAAAGTTTTTGTTCTGTTCAGTATTAAGCAGCAGGGTTTTCTGAGCCAATAAAATCCTAGCAGAGCCCAACAATAGGCAGCTACGAGTGGGGCCCTGAGCCCCGGGGCCCACGGCCTTCCCTGAACCTCCAACATAGGGCCCGTGGGGGAACTGAAGGACTGGGGTCCCTCCTCCACCCACACCCTTCCCTCCCCCGGGCCACTGCTACCTGTGACCCCACCACCCCCCGGCCCAGCGCCTGCACTCCTGCTTCCAGGGGGCACAGACTCTCAGGGCTCTCCCTTGCCCCTGCAGGCCGGTCGTGAGTACTCACCCGCCGCCACCACTGCGGAGAATGGGGGCGGCAAGAAGAAACAGAAAGAGAAGGAGCTGGATGAGCTGAAGAAGGAGGTGGCCATGGTGAGGCGGGCCGTGGGAAGGGGCCCCCGTAGCCCAGCGCCTCCGGGGTCCCTCGCCTCAGCCCCGGGCCCCTCCGTCCACACACACCTTCGAGGCTCGGTACTCAGCCCCCCGCCCCAGAGTAACTCAACTGTCCCCCCAGGACGACCACAAGCTGTCCCTGGATGAGTTGGGCCGCAAGTACCAAGTGGACCTGTCCAAGGTGAGCGGAAGGTCACCTTGGGGGAGGGTGCCCACGACCGGAGGACCCACGCAGGCAGGGCCTCTGAGCTGTAATCCCAGCCCTGGGACCCGCAGACTCGTGACTAGCTGTGGGCTGAGCCAGGACTCGAACCCAGACCCCCTGCTGCATAGGCCACAGCCCTTCCCCTGCGCACCTGGCAGCCAGGCCCCAGGGGCTCCCCAGGTGGGGCTTGTCCTCTGCCCCTGAAGGGACACACGTCTCAGGGAAGGGACACCTGTGAAATGGTGAGGTAACCCCACCGCTCTCAGGGTGACCCGTGCGCCCGCCATGCACACCGCGGCAGGACAAGTGCTCCAGGTACACTTCCCTGATGCCCACTCGGGGAAGCTGTTGTACGCCTGTTCCTGATGCGGGGGGACTCGAGGAGGGCCCCGTGAGTGGCACAGTCAGACAGCAAGCCCATCTTTTTGAAACACAAAGCATCCATGATGGTAGTTTGTGCACACACCTCCTCCTGCAGGCCCTCCCTGACTTCCCTTTTGAAAATTCCCTGCCCACCGCCCCGCCCCCGGCTCCGTTCCTTCCCCTTATTTTATTTTTCTTCATGGCCTGGCAGGGATATCTCCTGATCATGTGTCACCTCACCAGGTCGTAAGCCCCCCAAGGCAGGGGTTCTCTGGGTCCCCAGAGCCGACGACGGCACCCCGCATGCAGTAGGCGCTTAAGGCACATTTATTAAATAGATGAGTGCGCAGATGGAAGGGTAACTAAGTGGCCTCTGCCCTCCAGGGGCTCGAAGTCCAGCAGCAGGAAAGGACGTGCTGCAGAGCTCGCATGCCCCACGCGGAGCGCGGCTCCGTCAGCGCACGGGCTACACGGGACTGCCTGGGCCGGTGGGCGGGGGGCAGGGGGTGCAGGCCAGGCTGTCGGGGAGGCCACCCGTTACCAAAGCCGCGTGACACTCGCGGTCGGGAGCGCTGGCCTCTCCTTGAATGCTCGCTGGAAAGATGTGAAGGAAGGCCCGGGGCGGGGGACCGCAGCTGCGTCTGCGGGGAGCCTGTGTCCTGACCCGCAGGGGCCTCAACCCAAGGACCCCCGGCGCTGGTGCACAGTCCACGCCTCCACGGGCTTCGGGGCTAAATGTCAGCTCCTCCGCGTGGCCTTTCCCGAGGCTCCCCTGCCCCTTCCGAGCGGTGGGGTCTCTCCCTGCGGACATCGTGGCCCTGCCGAGGGGCCGCGGGACGACTGTGGACACGCGCTCACACTCCTCTCCCCGCTCCCTCAGGGCCTCACCAACCAGCGGGCCCAGGACATCCTGGCTCGGGATGGGCCCAACGCCCTCACCCCGCCCCCCACAACCCCGGAGTGGGTCAAGTTCTGTCGCCAGCTGTTCGGGGGCTTCTCCATCCTGCTGTGGATCGGGGCCATCCTCTGCTTCCTGGCCTATGGCATCCAGGCGGCCATGGAGGATGAGCCATCCAACGACAACGTGAGCCGGGCCCCGGGCTCCACCGTGCTCCCCGAGGCCCGATACGGTTGGGGACAGGCAGCGAGAGCATCCGGTCCCAGCCCCACAGGCCCCTGCCTTTCAGGCAGCCCGTCCCTGTTCCTTCCCGCCTGCGTGGGCTTGGCTGCCTCCCTGGAGCCTCAGCCCCTAGAGAAGTCCTAGTCCTGGCAACGCCCACAGTCCCCCCCTTCTCAGGAGAACGAGTGGGAGGCTGGGGAGAAGGGCTCTCCGCCGCCGTCACTCCCAGTCACAGGCAAAGTCCCCGGGGCCCGGGGCAGTCGGAGTGGCGGCTGCCCCTCCCGGGCTGCGGGTGCCTCACAGCTTCCTCCTCCCCAGCTCTACCTGGGCGTGGTGCTGGCAGCCGTGGTCATCGTCACCGGCTGCTTCTCCTACTACCAGGAGGCCAAGAGCTCCAAGATCATGGATTCCTTCAAGAACATGGTGCCTCAGGTAGACCCGCGGGGCTCCGGGCTGGCGCCAGGGTTCGCCGAGGGTCCCAGCTCCTGAGCTCCTCGCGCTCCCAAACCCAGGCTCCCGCTCTCCATGCCCGGACCTCGCTCCATGGCCCAGGGCGCCCGGGGGGCCTGCGGGAGGCTGGTGGGGGGTGGGCGGCGGGGGGCCATGGGCAGCGGAGAGCATGAGCCTCCTGCCCCCCACCCCCCAGCAAGCCCTCGTGGTGCGGGAAGGAGAGAAGATGCAGATCAACGCAGAGGAGGTGGTGGTAGGAGACCTGGTGGAGGTGAAGGGCGGCGACCGCGTGCCTGCGGACCTGCGCATCATCTCTTCCCACGGCTGCAAGGTGAGGAGGCGGCGGGGGGCCCCGGTGGCCCTAAGAAGCAGGCCGCACACCGCTGGGGGACCCCGGCTAGAGGCTGAAGGTCTGGAAGGCCCTGGCCCCCGCGACGCCCGGCCCAGCTGGTCTCCCACCGTGTACACGGAGTGTCAGGAGGCTGTGCTGGGCACGCGCCATGCCCCGGGCTTGTTTGATTCCCACTCGATTGCAGCCGCGTGGTGGGTGTCGTTAGGTGTGAGATGCCCCTTAGGTGTGCACACCGTCTAACCTCTCTCCGTAGAGCAGTGCATCCTGCGGGGCTGCCGCACAGGCTGCAGGTGGTGCCAGGTGCAACCCCAGGTGGCGGCGTTTTCTCAGACCCTCGTGTCCGAGGCGCCCCTCATGGGAATGTGACACAGGGATGCCTGTTACGGTCCCCAGTCTGCAGACGAGTACGTGGAGGTTTTGCTGGTTAAGTAACCAGCCCAAGGTCACATAAGAAGTCGGGGACAGCCAGGATTCCGAACCAGAGCAGGGACAATAGCTGAGTAATGCTCTAAATACGTGATGAGCACAAGCATGATTTTGTCCCTGGGGTCACGGGGTCGAGCGTGGTTGGAGCTGGAAGACAGCTGTGCACACCCGTGTCCGCCCGTCTGCTGACCATGCACCTGCTTCCTCCTCAGGTGGACAACTCATCGCTCACAGGAGAGTCGGAGCCCCAGACCCGCTCCCCCGAGTTCACGCATGAGAACCCCCTGGAGACCCGCAATATCTGCTTCTTCTCCACCAACTGTGTGGAAGGTGAGAAGCTGGCCGGTTGGGAGCTCCCCGTCCTCGCCAGACTGAGGGAAGAGTCTCCGCCCTGAATCCCCAGGCAGCTGCGATTGTGCTCACTTGTCAGACCTCCAGCCCAGGGTGCAGGGGACCCTGATTCCCCAGTCCGCTCCCAGACCCGGGGCGGGAGGGGGGCCTAAATATTACAGGCTGGGGGGACCTGGCTCCATGGAAGTGACCCCCGCCCCCACAACAGGAAGATCTGAGGGCCGTCTACAGCAAGACCGAGCAGATCCCAGTGCTTGCAGATATCGGGCCATGACCTCCATGCACACGCACACGCACACGCAATACACAAAACACAACACGGAGGCACACAGACACACACAGTACGCAGCACGCACATGCCCGAGGTCAGCCTTGATGCCTACGAGTCATGGTTGGACTGAACTTCCATTTCTCCTGGTTCTGGGACCAGCCCCTCACCTGTCTCACTCTTGCTTTGCCCAGTGACCAGGCTGGGAGGTTCAGGCTGCCCAGGACACCCCATCTCCATACAGGGTACTGGAGACCAGCCAGGCCCAGCAGGAGCTCCCTGCGCTGCCACCACGTAAGGGCAGGAGACCAAGTCCACCCCAAACCCCTGCCCGCTGTGGCTGTGCCTCCTGGAGAGGGGCCGATGGCGAGAGCTGGAGGGGAAGGGGGACCGGCTAGACCTCCGCCGGGGGGGAGGGGACGGGGGCTGGAGGAGGCTGCATGCCCTGCCTCCACGCCCTTCCCTCGCCGATTCTCACCTCTCCTCGGTGTATCATGTCTCTCCCAGCAGTTTTTAAAAAAAACGATTCATCTATTTTAGAGAGAGCATGTGTGGGGAGGTGAGGGGGAGAGGGAGAGAATCTCACACAGGCTCCCTGCTCAGCGGGCACTGATGAGCCCCGACATGGGGCTCGATCCTGGGACCCTGAAATCATGCCCTGAGCCGAAATCAGAAGCTAGATGCCCACTCGGGCGCCCCTCTCGGAGCTTCTCCCAATCCTTTAGCAAGTTGGGATTACAATGAAAGTCGCAGCACATGAAATCTCTTCAATTTCTAATGTACTGAGGTTCTGAAAGCTGCTCCACATTTCCCACAATTGGTAAAAATGCCTGGTAAGATACGCGCCTTGCTTTCTCTGAAATAGGCTTGGAGGAAGGAGAAAAATTGAATAGAACGGGCATGTGTTGAGCGCCTACTATGTGCCAGGCGCCGGCCAGGTGTGTCACGGTGCCCCGCAGCTCCTGATCAGAGCCATCCCGGGCGGGAACCCAAGCAAGAGTGTGGACCGGGTCTGGCCGGCCCCCGCACACCCGCTCTTTCCCTCACTGCACGCTCCCTCCCCGGGAGCCCCGGGGGCGTCTGCCGGCCTGGCTGCCTCTGTGGATTCTCTGGCCCGAGGCGGAGAGAGAAAATCTTCAGACCACACAGAAAACATAACATCATGTACTTTTGGATCCTAACAAGCAGGAGCCAGATTTTACTGAGCTGCTCGAGCAACACTTATTTCACTGCTTGCACCTCCTCCATTTGAATCTGAGTCTCTCTGCAAGGTCTCTTCTCAGGCCCAAGTGTTAAGGGAAAGGGAAAACGAGATGCGATTGCCAGAGTCTGGGCCTGGCGGTCTGTGCCGGGGGTGGCGGGGGTGGGGGGGGGCAGCATGGGAGGCGCGGTTGCCACGGGGTGACCTGCAGGTCCCACCTGAGGCTCGTTTACTCTGCAGTGGTTCTGCTTCTCCAAGGAGTAGGGTGGGACTTCAGGCCCCGGCTCCCTCTGTGTTGCAGGCACGGCCCGGGGCATCGTGATTGCCACAGGTGACCGGACGGTGATGGGCCGCATAGCCACGCTGGCCTCGGGCCTGGAGGTGGGGCGGACGCCCATAGCCATGGAGATCGAGCACTTCATCCAGCTGATCACAGGGGTGGCCGTCTTCCTGGGGGTCTCCTTCTTCGTGCTCTCGCTCATCCTGGGCTACAGCTGGCTGGAGGCTGTCATCTTCCTCATCGGCATCATCGTGGCCAACGTGCCCGAGGGGCTGCTGGCTACGGTCACCGTGAGTGGCTCAGGCTCAGGTGCCGCCAGTGGAGGGAGGGAGGGAGGGTCTTGCTACCCTTTCCTCAAAGGCGCTAGAGCCTAATGGAATTTGGGCAATTTGTTCCCTTCCAGCCCCTAAAGTCACTCGTCAGATTGTCATCTAAGACATGGCTCAGAGTCTGAGCCTGAAAAATCCCTGGTAGGGCTGCGCCTCGGGGCGCAGGGGCTCCCCCGGAGCTCGTCGCCACCCTATCCCCCCCGCCGCGCTGTCCACCGCGCTCTGCAGCTCGTCCCCGCCCACCCTGCCGCAAAGCCTCCCTCAGAGGTCACCGATGACTAACTGGCAAACCCAGCGGTGACCCTTCCTCGGGGCCTTCCATGGCTCTGCCCACACACGGCACCGCTGCCCACCCTCTTGGACTTCTCCCCTCCGTCTGTGACATGTCGCCAACCTGGTTCCCCTCTGTCCCCTGCAGGGTCTCCTCCTCCCCCGACCCCGACCCCAACCCTGATCCTCGGGCCCCCCACTCCGCTCTCCCCACCCCTGGAGTGAGCTCACCGCCCCCCCCACCACCATTCGCACACCCTTCGGCCCAGCTCTCTGGGGCCCACTCTGGGGCTCAGGCCTCGTATCTTCAATTCCCGGCTGGACTTTTCACTTAAATACACACCCATGGTGTCAGTTCAACAGTTCTGAAACGGAACACACCCACCCCCACACGGAGGTCCCGCCGGGTGTCTGCGGACCGGGATGAAGGCAGGAGGGCCAGGGCCTGGTCCGGGGCGAGATCACGGGCCCCTCTGGCTCCGGCCTTAGCCCTCCTTACTCTCCTCTGTCCCAGGTGTGTCTGACCCTGACGGCCAAGCGCATGGCGCGCAAGAACTGCCTGGTGAAGAACCTGGAGGCGGTGGAGACGCTGGGCTCCACGTCCACCATCTGCTCCGACAAGACGGGCACCCTCACCCAGAACCGCATGACCGTCGCCCACATGTGGTTCGACAACCAGATCCATGAAGCGGACACCACCGAAGATCAGTCTGGTGAGTGGGCACTCCACAGGGGCGGGGGCGTCCAGGGCACCCACACGACGCCCATGATGGGGAGGGCGGGAGCAGACGGCTGGGAAGGGGAGCCAGGCTCCCGGATCTCCCTCTCTGCCTCCCTCCCAGGGGCCACGTTCGACAAGCGATCGCCCACGTGGACGGCCCTGTCTCGGATCGCCGGTCTCTGCAACCGGGCCGTCTTCAAGGCCGGACAGGAGAACATCTCGGTGTCTAAGGTAGGGAGCCGGGGGCACCTCCACGGCCTGCCAGCCTTGCCGATGCCCGGCTCCTGTGCTCGCACCCTCTGCCAGCCTCGAGGCTCCGGGACCCCCTCCCTCGGCGCTCCCCACCCCCCACCCCCGCCCGTGTGACACTGAATTCCCCTCTGGCAGCGGGACACGGCGGGCGATGCCTCCGAGTCGGCTCTGCTCAAGTGCATCGAGCTGTCCTGCGGCTCCGTGAGGAAGATGAGGGACCGGAACCCCAAGGTGGCGGAGATTCCTTTCAATTCTACCAACAAGTACCAGGTCCGGTTGGGGTGCCGGGTCAGGAGCGGGGGAGGGGCTGACATGAGCGGGGCGTACAAAGCCTGCAAGCGGTGGGGGCATCTGAGGGCCCTGCCCCTGCCGTGTCCCCCAGGAACCCCGGGGGTTTCTGTGTCTGGTGACAATGACCCTGACCTCCAAACTGCCATCCTCACTGAACCCCGTTGCCTCCCAGCTCTGGCCTCAGCCTGCCATCCCTTCAGCTGTGGGGTCGGCCACACCTCTGAAATTTCCCTAGGGTGTCCCTCGGGCTGCTGGCACCCGCTGAGTGCCAACAAGGCAGCCTCAGCCGCCCTGCAGGAGCACCCCGAGGCCAGCACGGTGGTGGGGTGCTGGCGAGAGAGCCACCCAGCCCCTCGCACGCGCCTCTCTTAACTGATCTTGGTACCTACTTGTGAGGCGAATGAGTGTCTACGGGCAGGTGGCTCTCGGGTTACAGGACTGGCACGACTAACACCCCCTCACACGCCGGCTCTCCCTCCGTCGACACTAGTTGACAGACCAGAGGGCGTGTCCCCTTGGCAGGCCCTGGGGCAAGGCCGGCCCCATCCCTAATGGCCTGTCTTCTGTCCAGCTGTCCATCCACGAGCGAGAAGACAGCCCGCAGAGCCACGTGCTGGTGATGAAGGGGGCCCCGGAGCGCATCCTGGACCGCTGCTCCACCATCCTGGTGCAGGGCAAGGAGATCCCGCTGGACAAGGAGATCTGAGCCAAGGCACGTCCTCAGCACCCCCACCCCATCTCACGGCCAGGCACTGTGCTGTGGCTGCTCCTCTTTTTCCAGCATCTCAGCTGACACCAGAGCAGCTCAGGCTGCCCGTCCGCTGAGGGCCAGGGGATAGTGAGACGACGGAGACGTGGTGCCTGGCCTCCGGAGCTCACGGGCTCTCAGGGGAACAAATGCCTGTACACTTAATCACGGAACAGCCCGACAGTCAGGGTCGTGGGCACCTGCCATGGCCCAGATGCTCCCATAATACAAACAGCCGCTCGTAGGAGCCAGGCAGTGTTTTCGGCACTCAGCCTGCATGAGCTCATCTGATCTCCACAAGCACCTAATGAGTCAGCACTGGGATTTTCCCTTACAACAGAAAAGGGAAACTGAGGCACCAAGTAGCACACTCCTCAGTGGTTGGAGCCGGGATGTGAAGCAAGGCAGCCTGCCGTTTGCTATCACCCCGAAGCACAGTGTGCAGACGTGTACGTGTGTGTGTAAGGGATTTCTCAACCCCAATCACTCCGTCTCCGAGGTAGGCGTCATCATCCCCATTTAAAAATAAAACCAGCTGAGACTCAGAGTGGGTAAGTCGCTTTCCCAAAATAAAACTGCCGGTAAGGGGTGGATCAGGTATGTGAAGCGTGGCCCAGCGTCTGGCAAGCCGTGCTCGGGCACGTCGGGCTGCCTGTGGCCATGACCGGAACCTGCACGGGGGCTTGGGGACAGTACCTCCGGGCACTCAGAGCGGGGAGCAGCTAATTCCGCCGCGGAGAACTGGGCAGTGTTTCACAGAGCGCTTGATACTCGATCTGGGCCTCGAAGGCCACGGTGTTTTGTGAGGCAGGGAGAGGGAGGCTGTCAAGGTCAGGGACAGTGCGTGCCTGATGCCATGAGACGGCACGCGGGGTACAGGTGCGTGGGGCAGGAGCACAGGAGACTGGAGCGTGGGCCGGGGCCACGTGGAAGGGCTTTGCCCAGATGCCCGACTTGGGCTTGATCCTGGGGTCCGCAGGGAGCCACAGGTATCCAGCTTGCAGGAAGCCCCCCCCCCGGTGGAGGGGGGTGGATCTGGAGAAGGATCAGAGGCAGGACGCAGGGAGAGGGGCCATTGTGGTGGTTCCAGCCGGGGCGACATCCTGAACCAGGGTGGCAAAGGGGTGGAGGCAACGGGTCCCTTTTGAAAAACACTCTGAGAACACGGTGACCAGGCCGGACACGGTCGGCGAGGAAGGTGCAGGGATGAAGGGAGGGAACAGTGTGGAGGTGGGGGCAGAGGGCAGGCTTGGCGGGGTGGCCAAGCGCACCTCGAACTCAGTTCTGACCCTCCGTGGGAAGCATCTAGTAGACGCCCAGGGAGAGACGTCCCCAGGAAAGCTGGCTAAGCTTAGAGGCCAGCACAGATGGTCAGGGCCGGAGAGCGAGGCTGGTGGGCACCCGAGTGCAGCTCAAGACCTGTAGCAGGCATGGGGACACAGGTCGTGGGCTACGTGGAGAGAGAGGAACCAGGGCAGGAGGGGGAGAAAGTCACAGCTCACGTTTGCTGGGCGCCCACCCAGTGCCCCTGACTCCGCACGACGACGACCCCAGCTTCCCGGGGTGACCCTGGGCCAGCGGGGAGTGGGGAAGGCCAGTGTGCGTGCGGGCTCAGGCCTGCCGCCCCTTCCCCTCCACCTGGCGGCCACCCTGAGGATGCAGGAAAGAGCTGGAATGAGCGGGGAAGGGACCCGGGAGTAACAGAGTCCATGCAGACCGCGTGGGGCCTCTCAAGGAGGGGGTGGTGGATGCTGCCGGGTGCTCAGAGGGGTCAGGCGGGATGAGGGCTGCAAACCTGCCGTCGGGGGCGCAAGGTCTTGAAGGGGCTGGCTCCTCGGCGTCCGTGAGATCTGCCCACAGACCCACAGGTGCACACGCTCCTCCATCGGGCTCTGATCCCCGTGCCCGTGACAGGCCGCCCCGTAGCCCCCGCCCCGTAGCCCACCTCGCAGATGCCAGCCACCCTCTCCACCAAACTCCATGCACTCTGCACGGATCAGCTTCTTCCCACGCGGAGAAGGGGTGGTGGAAGGCCGGGGCGGCAGCTGTGCCCTCACCCTGCCCTGCCCGGCTGCACGGCCGCAGCGACCAGAGTGGACGCGAGCCTGGACACAGACAGTCATGGGCCCTTTCTGGGAACATGAGGGCCCTTGGAGCCCTGACAGCCTCGTATCCCAGGACAGCCAGCCTCTGAGGCTCCTCTGCCGAGGGACCCCGGTGAATTCGTTACTCGTCAGGAGGCTTTCCTCCACCCAAGCACAGTATCTCTGACCCCCAAGTACAGCCTGTCCCCCCCAAACACGGGCGCACGCACACACGCTGTTCCCCCAGCGTGGCTGGGATCTCTCAGTCTGGCTCTTTCTGACTTACGGCAAGGAGTGGGTTAGGAGAGGCCCTCAGCACTGCTTTTCTCCTCTCTTCTCCTTTTCGCAGGTGATCATGGTGACCGGGGACCACCCCATCACAGCCAAGGCCATCGCCAAAGGGGTGGGCATCATATCCGAAGGCAACGAGACCGTGGAAGACATTGCGGCCAGGCTCAACATTCCCGTCAGCCAGGTCAACCCCAGGTGAGGCCTCCGCAGGCCCCGTCCCCGGTCACCCCGCCCCGTCCACAGAACACCTCCCTGGGAGCTTTGCAGGCCGTACCTGTGACACCCCAGCGGCCGGCCCCTCAGCCCCGAGCGTGTCCAAGCTGTGCCACTAGCTCACTGCGTGACCCCGGAGATGCCGCGTTATGGCGGCCTTGAGCCTCCACTCTCTCAACTACAAATTTACGGCACAAACCGCACTGCAGGGTGGCTACGGGGGTGAGGCATGGGTGAGAAAACCGGCACGTTGCCTAGCAACGACTCTGCTGGGCTATGATGTCGCCTCACTTCCTCCGAGAAAGATGGGACAGACAGGCCACGGGGAGAGGGCGAGGGAGACCGTGCCCCCGACTCTGCGGGGACCCTGCGGCCCGGCGGCAGGGACTCACCTCTGCTCCCACCGTCCAGGGAAGCCAAGGCGTGCGTGGTGCACGGCTCAGACCTGAAGGACATGACGTCGGAGCAGCTGGACGAGATCCTCAAGAACCACACGGAGATCGTGTTCGCGCGGACGTCCCCGCAGCAGAAGCTCATCATCGTGGAGGGCTGCCAGAGGCAGGTGAGCAGGTGCCGCACGGGGCCGGGCCTGGACGGGCCTGGACGGGCCTGGACGGGCTTCCTCCTCGCTCTGGCTGTGTCTTCGCCCAGGGGGCCATCGTGGCGGTGACCGGGGACGGCGTGAACGACTCCCCCGCGCTCAAGAAGGCCGACATCGGCATCGCCATGGGCATCTCGGGCTCCGACGTGTCCAAGCAGGCCGCCGACATGATCCTGCTGGACGACAACTTTGCGTCCATCGTCACGGGCGTGGAGGAGGGTGAGGAGCCTCGTGGGCCGGGCTGGCACCCAGCATGGTGGAGGCCAGCACCCTGTTTCCTGGGCCTTTACCCCCACACAGAGCCAACCCGGGATTCCAGGCCCCTGCAGCCCGCTTTGGCTCCCCTCAAACTCAGAGTCTCCCTCCCTCTCTGGAGAACATGGGCAGCCTCACTTCAGGGGCTGGGGCTGCGGAGGGGCCCCCGTCCCCCTGAGGCCCCCCCGAACCTCCCCCAGGCCGCCTCATCTTTGACAACCTCAAGAAATCCATCGCGTACACCCTGACCAGCAACATTCCCGAGATCACCCCCTTCCTGCTGTTCATCATCGCCAACATCCCCCTGCCTCTGGGCACCGTGACCATCCTCTGCATCGACCTGGGCACAGACATGGTGAGGCCGGGGTGGAGCGGCGCCGGGGGTGGAGGTGGGCGGCCGGGGAGGGAGAGGCGCCCCAGGGCCGCTGGCCTGGCTGCCATGGTTGAGGGAACAGAAGCCGAGACCCGCACCATACTAGGGTCTTAGCAGCACGCGCCGAAGGGCATCGAAGATTCCCCCCCGCTGACCACCCCCTGCACCTGTCTGCTCCCTTCCACCGCCGTCCTCCCCGCACCCGCCCGCACGCAGGTCCCCGCCATCTCCCTGGCCTACGAGGCAGCCGAGAGCGACATCATGAAGCGGCAGCCGAGGAACCCGCAGACTGACAAGCTGGTGAACGAGAGGCTCATCAGCATGGCCTACGGACAGATCGGTGCGGCGGGGCCCTGGGGCCTGGGGGGGCCCGAGGCCAGTCTCTGACCCGCTGCTGGACGGAGGAGCCCCAGGCACATCCCAGGCCAGCAGCCACCCCCCGAGGGCCCCGGACGTCGTCTGTGGCCGGAGCAGCTGGTCCCCGCCCTTCCTCCTCTGACTGGGCCTGCCCTCTGCCCGCCCCCTGCAGGGATGATCCAGGCCCTGGGTGGCTTCTTCACCTACTTCGTCATCCTGGCAGAGAACGGTTTCCTGCCGTCGCGGCTGCTGGGAATCCGCCTGGACTGGGACGACCGGTCCATGAACGACCTGGAGGACAGCTATGGGCAGGAATGGGTGCGTGGGGCCTTGGCTGTGGACGCCGGGGCCAGAGGGTGGGCTTGGTGCCTGCGGGAGTGGCCGCTGAGGGTGCCCCCCGCCCAGAGCCAGACTGGGCCCCCAGCACGCCGCCCCCTGCCCCTCGGCCGCCTCTCACGCTGCCCTCCTGCCCCGCAGACCTACGAGCAGCGGAAGGTGGTGGAGTTCACCTGCCACACGGCCTTCTTCGCCAGCATCGTGGTCGTGCAGTGGGCTGACCTCATCATCTGCAAGACCCGCCGCAACTCGGTCTTCCAACAGGGCATGAAGTGAGCGCCCCTGGCCCCCGCTCCCAGCAGGGAGCTGGGCCCCCCACCCCCCGCAGGCCCCCTTGCCCCGTGGCCACATCCGGGGGCAGAGCATCAGATTGCACCTGCCCGGTCGCTGGCGTGGCCACAGCCCAGCCTGAAATGGGTGGCTGAGGAGGAAGCGGTCCGAGCACCATTTCTGACCAGTTTTCACTTTGCTCCTAATCTGGTGCTTTAAGGTTCCCTGCCCTCTCCCTTCCTCTTCATCTTCCCACATGTCTTCCCTCTTCCATCCTCCCTCCTGCATCCCGCACCCACCCCCCCACGCCCCCCCTGCCCAGCCCTAAGTGCGGGTGCCCCGCGCTCCCCCGGACACAGGGAGCTCAGGCTCATAGCGCCCGCCCCACGGAGTGTGCCACCCTCCTGGGGGCTGGGAGCTGCCCAGAGGCAGGCTCGGTGTGCGTCCTTAGCGCATCAGTCACCATGTGCCAGTCGGCGTGCTGTCGTTCAAACACGTCGTTTACCTTCACAATAGCTCAGCGAGGTATGTGCTGCTTTCATTTTCCAGACCAGAGACCCCAAGAAGCTTACATGACGTGCCCGAGGTCACCCAGGTCGGCCTCTAGGGCCCACGCTCTTGGCGACGGCACCGGGCGGGCGCCTGTCGGGGTCTGGCCCCTGTCGGTGCTCAGCGATCACTCAGTGACCGCGGCGTGGACGGTGGTTAGCGCTGGAGGAATCAGGGTCCTCCTCGAGCACAAGCCCCCCCAGGGCACTTTTGACACAATTTCTCAGTGTGGGGAACAAAGCAAGATGCCAAAACCCTGGTGAAGTTAATAGCACGTAAGAGAGGAAAGTGGAGAGTCCCAGAGAGGCTCCCAGGACCGTGCTCTACGCTGCGTTTGGGTCCTGCCGTCGTGCGCGTACATCTCCAGCGTTCACCTTCCGGCGAGCGACGGCTTCCTCTTGGCTGGGTGCCTTACTCACATCTCTCCGCTTTATTGAACATGTCACTTAGCGAGTATGTGCCTGGAGCCGTCGCCAGGCCGTAGGCCGCGTGGGGCGGCCCCCCTCTGGGGCAGAAGCTCGTGGGGAGCACAGCATCCCCCGCACAGAGCCCGTTGGCCCACACGCTAGAAACACTTACCTGCTGGGTGACTGCGTGTGTGACAGGCAATAATCGGAGCTGAGGTCAGCAGGCAGGAAAAGTAAAGAGAACCTGCGAAGGAGCCGTCCAGCCGTCTAGCCCGGGAAGAGGGTGTTTGCACACCGAGGGCGGTGGGGGTGTCTCTAACCATCCGGACATTTCTCGAGGCCTCTGTCCCTCCCATCTCCGGGGTCCCCCTGCACCTCCTGCCCCCGCGTCCCCCCTTCCAGCACCGCCTACCCTCCTTTCTTTGCCTCTCCAGGAACAAGATTCTGATTTTCGGGCTGCTGGAGGAGACGGCGCTGGCGGCCTTCCTGTCCTACTGCCCGGGCATGGGCGTGGCCCTGCGCATGTACCCGCTCAAGTGAGTGTGTCCCTGGCGGGGCCCCCGGACCGGGCTCCGGTGTTCACAGCCTCCTTGGCGTGACCGCCCGGGACGCCCCTGACACGCTCTCCTTTCTGTTTGGTGCAGGGTCACTTGGTGGTTCTGTGCCTTCCCCTATAGCCTCCTCATCTTCATCTACGACGAGGTCCGGAAGCTCATCCTGCGGCGCTATCCCGGCGGTGAGCACCCCTGCCCGCTGCCCGCCAGGGCACCCCGCTGCTGCCCACCCCCCAGGACGCCGAGCACCCAACCACTCCTACCGCGGATCCTCGCACCTTCTTCCCCTGCAGCCCCCAGATCCCAGGTCCTCGGAGCCCTGACCCTGCCTCCTCCTCACAGGCCCGGGTTCCCCCCCCCCCCAAACACAGGTGATCCTCAGGCTCTGCCAACCCCCTGGATTGCAGGGCACAGAATTAGGAGGGCCCAGGGCACCCCCCTCCACAATCTACAGAAACCGACAGGTGCAGAGCGCAATTTATCTGCTTGGGGTCGTAAGGCAAAGAACAGCAGGGCCAGCGCTGGAACCCAGGTCTCCCGGTTCCAGAGCAACAATCAAGTTTGTTTTTTTTTCTTCCAACAAGCATTTTTGGCCACTTCCTGGAAGTTGAGAACGGATGGCCTCTGAGCCAAATATGCCCGTGGATATTGTTTGGTTTGGTCCGCCCTTTATTGTGTGGCTGTGTTTTTCAATTGGCCCCATGACGAAAATTAGGGGCTTTCACATAAAATCCATATTTCTGACTTCCGGGGAATTGTGAGCTGTCAACCCCACGGCCACGTCTCTGCACAGCCACCGGGCAGTCGCCCCTTTACAGTCACCTGTTACGTGCAGCCCCAGGAGCCCCTTCTGTGCCAGCGCTGCTCTGTGCTAAAAGGACTCTCTCCATTCCCCTAACCCGGGGCCTCCGCTCCCTGACGTCCGCCCTCCCTCACACCCTGATGTCGCCCTCCCTGGGATCCCGGGGCCCTTGCCCCAGGCCTGTGCTGCGCATGGCCGTGAGCCCCCAGCCCAGGGAGATGGATCTCTGTCCCCCTCCCGCCCCCCCTGAACTCACGCCGTGCCCCCATCTCTCCCACAGGCTGGGTGGAGAAGGAGACCTACTACTGAGCCTTCAGAAGAAGGACCAGGCTCAGGCCGGGGCGACTGGAGGCGGTGCAGGGGATGGTGATGCGCAGAAGACTGGGGGTGCTGGGGGGCGGTCCGGGGAGGGACAATGAGCCGCTCAGCAGGCTAAGCTGGGGGCAGCGGGCACGTAAGCTCTCGTAAGCTCGGGGCAATTGCCTTGCAGACCTAACTATGAACGATCGGCTTAGACACCACACGTTAGGGTCCTTCCCAGATCCTGCTCCACTGCTCCACCCTGTTGTCCACTTTTTCTGAGGAATTGAGGGTTACCCCAGCCCCCCGCCGTCGTCTGCCCCCGCACACCCGCCTCCTGCTGGAACACATCAACACCCCCCCCGCCCCCAGCCAGGGACCTGTCTAAACTGGGAAGAGGGGACTGTCTCAGATCACCAATGCCCCTCCGCCTCTCCGCCTCACCCCACCGTCCAGTCCACCCCTCGTTTGCTTCCTGCCAACTGACGCCCGCGCCCCTTGGGATCAGACACAGTTCCTCCTAGGGAATGCCAGGCCGGAAAGGGAAGCTGATTGTAGAAGCCAGTCCTCCGCAGGCAGGCGAGGCTGGTTAGGAGCCTCTAGAGGAGGGCGGGCAGGGGCGTGGGAGGCCGAGGAGGGACGTGGCAAAGGGAGCGGGGAAGAGAGTGCCAGGACAGGACAGCTGATGTGCGGTGTTTCCGCCCCATGTCCTGCTCTTTTAGAGCTTCCTGCCAGCAGACCCAATTCAAATGTCATCAGAGTAGCGGCAAAGGCAGCCAGAGAACCCAGGAGCCCCGCTGGGATCCCGCACCCCTGCCCTGTGCAGTCCCCACCCACCCGGGTTCGTGCCCTCTGGGTCCTGCGGCCCAGGTGTCCCAGATGCTCTGGCGGTGTTGTCCTCACTCACTCATGCCTCCAGGCTGCTAGGTCCTCAGAGGCTCCGTGTTGGGCCCAGAGGGACACCTGCCCCTGCCACCCCCTTCCCCGCTGTGATCATCCCCATGAAGCTGCCTCGTTCCCCGAAGCACCCGGCCACCAGCTGCAATCTGGGTGGAGGACGTTCCTGGGACCTTCCCACGGCCCAGGGACATGCAGAACCAGCTTAGGTCACCAGCCTGCTCAGAACCTCCCAACAAGAAGAGAGCAGGCGCTGGGAGGGCTGTTCCTCCCAGGTGAACGCCCCCCCCCTTTAGTGGGAGCACTAACCCTGCTTCCCAGGGCGGGGAGTTGGTTTCAGGTTCCTGGGAGACGCTGCGTTGCCCTCCCCTCACCCCAACCCAACAGCTCCACTCTGCAGGCAGCTCGGCCCCTCCTCTAGGCCTAGCCCAGAAGCCCTGGGAAGCCCGGGAGAGACACCCAGCTGAGCGGCCAAAGGGAAGACCCAAGGCAGAGGGACGGAGGCCGTGGACGACCCCCGGGGGGCTCCCCCTTCGCTACACTGGAATTTTACCTTATCAGAAATACCTTGAAATAAGTGAGTCGTCGCTCCAGCTCAGAAAACGAAATGGGAAACCACATGAATTTGGGCCTGAGAAGTTTGAGATCTGTTGACTGTGGACAAAGTTTACCTTTGCACTGTCAGTTAAAAAAAGAAAAAAAAGGCCTTTGTTCAGCAAATTAAAAGCATAAACCACATTGCTAGCGATGGCATATCTAGTCCACCTAAAACTATACTTTGGAGGCACTTTAGGAATATCTACGTAGAAGTAGCGCGTGCATGGGCTAATCATCAATTCTCCTGTGTTTGTTCAAGAAACATTCTCAAGACCTTCACTCGGTGACCTTTTGTAAGACATTAGTTCGAGGTACTATGTATGTACTTGAAAATAATAAAGTCGCATTTATGACAAAGAAATCCCGTCGGTCATTCAGGCTTCCAGACTGAATCCTGGCCTCCCTCCCAGCCCGGGTTATTGAAAGGTGCGCGGGGGAAGCGGCGAGGGAGGGGATGATCTGGGGGCAGGTGACGTCAGTGGAGAAAGCTGGAGTGGAAGACGTAGGCTGCAAAGTGACCTGGAGGAAAATGTCGTAGTAGAAGCTGCCTTTCTCGGGGCAGAAGCTGTCCTGGGAGCCGCAAAGCCTTGTCCAGAGCAGGGAAGGACCCATGAGTCGCCCGGGACTCAAATTTTCAAGGCCACTTCTGTTTGTCCTGTTCCAGACCCACATCAGGCCGCTCTCCCTCTGAGGGTGGGGGAAGGAGACAGCGGGCTGAGCCACCCTCCCCCCACCCGAGGTCAACACCAGCTCACAGTCTACACTGCAGGCAGAGCCCTGTTCTGGGTGCTGGTTGGGGGTGCAGAGGGAAAAGTAGTTGCAGTCCTTGAATTTCACCCAAGGTGCCCACCCCGGAAGCACCATGAGCAGGTGGGAGGGACTCCGTGGGGGCAGATGCGGGGGCGGCGGGGTGCTGTGCATTCCACCCTCCCCCCGGGGCCCTGGGAATGGGAGAGAGGGGATGATGCCAACCAATAAACCCCTGAGCCAGGATCGGGGAAGGGCAGTCAGCAGTCCGAGCCTGGCCCCTTTGCCTCCCTCCAATGGCCTGGTAAACCCAGCGCGGCTCACTGGTGCCCTGGCCGCTTGGGACCCTTGTCTGCTTGGGACCCTCGTCCCTATGACCTTGTTTAATCCTACCTTGGGGCCTTTCTCCTCCACAGTCCGCAGTCCGGCAGCCAGGATCCTGCCTCGTCCCGCACTCCCGGGCCGCCCGTCGGCTCCTCCCACAGTCCCTCCTGGGAGAGGCCCCCATCGGCCACCCCAATAAGCTGACACTTCCAGCAGCTCGTCCCCTATCCTCTCCGTTTTTATTCGTGAATGCTTACTGCCTCAAATTCAGAGAGGAAACATAGAAACATAGATACAATTCATTTCTTTAGACTTTTTTTTTTTAATTCAATTTGCCAACGTACAGCATAACATCCCGTGCTCATCCCTTCAAGGGCCCTCCTCCTCAGTGCCCGTCACCCAGATACAATTCAAATATACACAGAGCTGTTGGTTTGTTTGCCTGACTCCATCTGCAAGGTCAGTTCCAGGCACACAGAGATTGTTTTTCTTTCGTTCACCACCTTTGTCTTTAGTACCTGAAACAATGCCTGATGCAGACTGGACAATGAGTCAGGGTGGGCAGGATGGCTGAAAGAATCCATCCAGGAAGATGGATGCTACTGTTATCTTTAATTTACAGGGGAGAAAATTTCAGCCTGGAAGGGTTTTTGTTGTGGTGGTTTGTTGTTTTTTTTTTTAAAGTTGGCTCCAGGCCCAGCACGGAGCCCAGTGCAGGGCTTGAACTCACAACCCCAAGATCAAGACCTGAGCTGAGATCAAGACCCAGACACTCGACTGACTGAGCCACCCAGGCGCCCCCAGCTTGGAAGGGTTAAAATATGTTGTCGACGTTTCCAGGATGGTGCGCCTCAGAATCAAGATCTGGCTCTCCATCCGCCAGCCTGCAGGCCCGGACAGAGCCTGGTCAGCCCAGTGGTCCAGTGAACTGGGGAGGCCTCTGAGGGAGCCAGGGCTCCGTGGGAAATGAATGTTCCGCGGGAGGGGCTGGGCAGACCCAAGCGATTAGAGCCAGGCAACAGGAGGACTGGTCTTAAAAATACTGCAGGGGGGTGAGAAAAAGGATACAGAGATTCAACCCTCTGCTAGAGGATTCAGCCCAAGGCAGAGGTGGTGCTAGAGGTTAAGGCCAACCTCTGATCCAGGCAGAAACGCTCTCCATGGCCTTTCCTTTTTATCTACGGAATAGGAAACATGATGACTCACAAGAGACAGATGACAAGCTAAATATTCACAATGCTAAGAATGCAGCAAAAAATAGGAAAAAATGAGTAGATCACTATCAAAGGAAGACATCTGATACAAAGTGAAATCAGAGCCGGAGACAAACCATGAGAGATTCTTAACTCCAGGAAACAAACTGAGGGTCGCTGGAGGGGTGGGGGGTGGGGAGATGGGGTCACTGGGTGACAGGCATGGAGGAGGGCACGTGATGGGATGAGCACTGGGTGTTACAGGCAACTAATGAATCACTAAACTCTACTCTGGAACTAATAATACGCTATCTGGTAGCATATAAATACTGGTAATTAATTGATTTTTTTTTAAATGAGTCTTTCAAAAACATCCTCAGCTCCAGTGAATTCCGTGGATAATTTTTTCCCCTAAGTTGCTTAAAGACATCCTTATATTATTTCAACTGTGCTAGGGTATAGAAAAAAAATTGTGGGGACCCTGCGCGGCTCAGCAGCTGAGCATCTGCCTTTAGCTCATGGCGTGACCCCAGGGCCCTGGGATCGAGTCCCGCATTGGGCTCCTGCGTGGAGCCTGTTTCTCCCTCTGCCTGTATCTCTGCCTCTCTCCCTCTCTCTCTCTCTCTCTCTCTCTCATGAATAAATAAATAAAATCTTTATAAAAAAGGAAAAAGAAAAGAAACTGTATCACCCAGCCTATTTTATAAGACAAATACAGTTTTGATAGAATTTAATGAAACGTATCTATAATGACGACCAACAAATTGCGGAATGCAAGTACAGTGTATTATATGGAAAACCAACCACCAACATCCACTAGGAAAAATGATTAAATAGTCATTTCAAAAAATGTTGAGAAAGTGATCAGTAAAATTCAACATCTATTGTGGATTAAAATCCAGCATCTAGGGGGCGCCTGGGTGGCTCAGTCCCTTAAGCGTCTGCCTTTGGCTCTGGTCAAGATGGTAGGGGGTGGGGGGTCCTGGGATCCAGCCCGGCTTCCGGCTCCCTGTGGAGCCCGCTTCTCCCTCTCCCTCTGCCTGCTGCTATACCGCTGCTCGTGCTCTCTCTGTGTCAAATAAATACATAAACCTAAAAAAGAAAAGAAGGAAAAAGCATCGAGGAAGAGCGATCGTGCTCAGAGAAGAGGAGGGGGATGCAGTAAGTCTGGAGAACTATCATAGCAACTACAACAAAAGCTCTAGCAACATTTGAAATCCCGAATTAGGAGTTTATATTTAAATAGTCTAAATAGAGAGACAAACCAGAAGAAATAAAAACTTTTGGGCATGTGTATGTGTGGTAAAGGAGATGCTGTTAAATAAGTCAAAGATCCACGGTAGTCCTCCCAAACGAAGTAACAGCAGCAACAACAAACACCTGGAAGCAATGAGTTCAAAGTCACGGGGCAGGAGATATCGGCTCTTCCAAAATCACACAGAGCCCTAAAATTAGTGAGATAGAAGATACGGTACAAACAGCCTCCATTTACGACAGAGCCAAAGCCAATTACAGTCAAGATTCCGCGTGCGTGACATATGGCACTTACTAAAGAAACTTTAAAAGCACAACCAAGGAGAGTAATAAAGACAAACAGGAATTGGGGGATTCCGAGTCCCGGCTGCTGTCTGGGAGACAGAATGTAGGAAAGAGAAACAGAAGTTGCTCTGAAGACTCGATCCAATATCAGAATCTTCACTGTGTTTTCATAAAACACGATCTGGCGGTCGTGACCTCACTGCAAGCGGGCTCGGGCAAGACTCTCAGAGCTTCTTCTAGGTGATTATGAGAGCCATGGGCAGGCAGCCGTTGGGCTAGCATGTTGGCTCTGGCAGATTTTAAACCGTAGCAGACCAAAGGGACAATCAGCAAAACCTTGAACATTGAGATAAAACCTGAAAGTTCATCATTCATCCAACATATTTTTAGGAACCATTTGTGGACCAGCCGCTCTGTGCTATTCTAGGAACTGGGTATACAGCCGTGAATAAGCCGGGAGAGGTCCCCACGGTCACGGTCATGGTCACGGAGAAACAGACTGGTAGCAAGTCGACCGGCAGATAAGTGGGAGGGATGATTTCAGAGGGTGCAGAGCACAGCGAAGGCCACGGGGATGGATTGAGGGCTGTTAGGTGCAGGGGTGTGGGGGTGGAGGTGATGAGGGGTGCAGATGGGGGAGGGGTGGGGATGGGAGGTTAAGGGTGAGGGGAGGGGTGAGGGTGCCGGGCAGGGGAGGGCGGCTGTATTGGCTTCGACAATCAGAAGGCCTCTCTGAAGAAGTAGACCTTTGAGCTAAGATCTGCAGAGCAGAATAAGGTTTCCAAAAATAATTTCATTGATTCTAGTTGCTTTGGGGGCGAGGGGGACCTCCCATGTGCAAAGCTGGGCCGAGGGCTGCGCTCACGTAGATGATGCACAGGTGAGCCTGGTGACAGTAACTTTCATTTGATCCTTGCTCTTTAGGGCTTTACAATCTGCATGACCCACAAAGACCCTGCATGACCCACAAAGACCGGGGCGGGGGGGGGGCACGGGGAAGGTTTGTGACATGTATGACAAGCGGCCCTAACAAATCCCTAAGAATAAGAGGGCAGTGGGAAACTGGGAAAAGTATAAGGAACGATCCACAAAAAGGAAAATGAAACCCAGAAAGCCCATAAGGGAAAAACACGCTCACCTAGACAACGGAGAAATGTAAACGAAAGCTCTAGGGTACCGCATTGCACCAGTTACAGTGGCGGAAACAAGAGCAAAGTCATCCGGCGCGATGACACACTCGCCTCTGGTTGCCAGGACAGAGCTCGGAAGAGCCCTTTCCAAGAGCGATCCAGAGAACCTCCTAAAACTCTAGACGAGAGGAGCCTGTGATCCAGCCGCAGAAGTCAGCTTCCCAGGAAATGAAGCGAAGGATGGAACGGGAACCACGTAGGACGCGGCCACTGCAGCAATGTCTCCAATGAGTAAAAGGCAAAGGAAATCATCGGGTAGATCCATCGGTTGGGGGAGAGGCCGAGTAGAGCAGGGTCAGGGAAGAATCTGGAACCGTCGCAGCCCTGGCCTCTGGCACAGGTCGACGGCCGAAGGGGGGCTG